CCATGAATTTAATAAGATTGGCTCAACACTATTTCACGATGTATCCCAAAGAAGTGGTTACTATTTGAACAAAAAAGTTGAGGGCCTGAATATTTTGACTTTCACCCTCCTCTCCACTATAAAAAATAGTTTCTTTAAGTTAGACATATTTTCTAAGTTTCATTCCTTATCTTTAACCTCTCATGGTCATGTCTACATAGTTCTGTAGGCTTCGTTCTAAACAATTATTTTAGCTCTTCGTATTCTTCATAATTATTTTTAATTTCATTTTTTCTCAATTTTTTCCCTCTCTTTATAGGTCAGAAAGACGGGGGAACTCAAATTAAGCTTATCATAGACTATGAGAATTCCGAACAAGCCTTATTCAAGCCTCAAAGGTGAGTTGTACACCCAATTTTCTCAAAATGTATTGTTTTCCTTTTCTTTTTCTTTTTGAACAGCCATGTTCAGCGATGAATATTTTAAATTTCTATCATGTATGACGGTATGTCATAGTCAAAAGCCGCAACCTTGACCAAATGGGATGTTTATGATTCGTCAGATTTTTCATTGGTAAGCATGAAAGTTTTGCAATAATTCAACTTTTGTCCAGCCAGACCGCGATATGACTGGTCTAATTGCCATCGGACCACACAAATGTTGATGGCCAAGTCCAATCATTAGTTAGAAAGTATAATGAAGAAAATATTACTTGAAAGGGACAACATCTCACCTAAAAGTAAGAAGTGCATGATTTAAAGCATGTTGCTCATTACTTTTTTCATTTATTTATTCATATTTTTATTTTATATTTTGTAAGGGGGCTGGAAACAGAAAATTACGTTACGTGTGCGGTGAGTGCGTATTGCGTAGTTCTAAGTGCAACGACGAGTGTCAATGCAGTAATAATTAATCGATACATTTCAAATATTGTTATTAAAATTCATTTGTATTATTGATTAAAACTTTTTAAGTTTAGAAACATGTAAGTTATTTGATGTTGACGAACTTTCTCTTAAAAGAAAAATCAAGTTATTTCAATGGTAAAATAAATATCGATTTAACTCATCTTTGGAAACCGTGCCAAAGAAAATGAAATCAAATTAGATGAAACAGGTAATAAAAGTTTACAATCCCATTGTCATTCATGCACGATGGCATCAGGCAGCACCTCTTGAAATAAGGAAGTGCGGCTCTACCTGTCCTTCTGAATTTTTCATTCTGCTCAAGCCTCCTCACTACACAATCGTCAAACGTGTCAAATTTGACCAATCACATCCTGATCCGATTCAACAGGAGCCGAGTTGTTGCAAAAATTACGAATGTGACCGTGGTGTCTTTGACAAATCGTAATTAAATGAAACCAATTGAACTGCACTTCGCAATAAGAAACTATAATTCCTGGATCACGCATGAAAACACCTATCTGCACAGGGAAACTAGTGGCCTATTTGTTGTATCCATATTGAGCTGAAAAATGTAGTTCCTAATTGCAAAATGTGGTCCAATTGCGATTTTAATGGGCTTGTGGGCTTTTAATTCAAATATTCAACGGTGAAACTCGAACCGCATACGTCGAAAAATCCGATTTTTCAGGAGGGTGAAAAAAACCACCCTGAAATGTGACTCCAAAGTGTAAAAGAAGGAAATGGAAAATCCCAAGTTCAGTCATGGATCATTAGAAAAAAGTGTGTGTGTATGTAGGTAGTGTGCCTTGACAGTTTGAAGAGTGCACAGATGAACGCACTTCATGGTGATGAATAATATAATCGGTGGGGTACCAAGCGGCGACGGACTGACGAGTTGGGTGTCCTTCTCACATCTCCCGAGAGCATTCTCTAAGTGAGATGAGATGTGTATCCCTGAGCTACAGTCCCCTGTATCCTTTTAAAGGAGGGCCATCAAAGTTTTTCCTCCACTTAGTATGAAAAATCCCACCAAACTTTTCATCCCATCACAATAACTCAATATTTTTTAACGCCCTAAAGTTGTTCACAAGCTCGACGTTTTTCTCACGTGTTGGTCCTTTACTGAGCGCTTTTAAAACATATTTAATTCTAGGTCAAAAATGCCTTAGATGCCAATGCTTAAGAATTTTTCCGGCTTTCTGAAACGGAAGATTTTTCGATCAAACAACTCAATCTAGCCAGTCCAATTTGAAACTTTTCTGATCGTTTTGCGACTGACAGANNNCCCCTAAGAGTCTGATGAGGTTAATCTCACTTGTTAAATACAAGAACTTGGTTTTGGATGACCTTAATTTCCCATATATTCTATCTGTTTTTCAGGATTCAAATTTCCCCCTGGAAAAATCCCTTGTATGGGGAGTAAGATGATTTTCCAAGAGATCCTGATGTAATGAATAAAAAACCGAGAAATATTTTCCAATTTTGAATTCCCGGGCGAAAACTCTCGTTAATTCAACCGGGAATTTCTTCGAAGTTACAAGACGTCTCTTTGAAATAACAGAAATACCGCTTGAAACAAGGAGAATTCCTGTTGCTTCACAACGAGAAATCTCGCCCGAGAACTATTAATTGGACTTTTCCATACATCCAACAGAAATTTTCTCTCCGTTAAATAGTTTTTATTTTGACTCAGCGCTGGAATACACTCAGAAACCATTCATCTCATGCACAGCGCCACAAATACATCGTGCGCATTGACGTCATTACGTTATCTCCGGTGAAAACATCAAAAGAGCATGATTCAAAAACGCTACCAGTTTTTTGCACTCTCCCTTGGATTTTCTTTGAGAAGTTAATTTGTCGTGCAATCCACATTTCGTTACCTTTATTTTTTCCCCTCATACGAAGATTGGTGTTGAGTCCCTAGGGACATCGAATGAATATTCAAGGGAACATCAAACGACCATGATAACAGATAACTCAATCGAAATATCCACAAAATAATTGTATTGAACGATTCAGTTAAGATAGGTAACGAAGAAATTGGGGGGACAGAACATTTTGTTTATAAAAAATCGTGGTGCAATACAACATACTTTCCCCCGGATTTTCTTCAACAATTATCTATCAATTACTCAAAGTTGAGGACTTCTTTTCCAAAATTTGTAGACTCCAAAAACATTTTGTGGGCGTGATGAAGGACACTATCAAAGTCGGAATCTTGTGCCCCGACGGAAGGTAGGATTAGGCTAAAGAGGCTAATTCTAGTGAAATATCTAGATCCGGACTGTACAAAAAATTATCCAAAATCGCCTACCTAGAAAATCATGAATCAATAAATTCCCGGGGCTGATTTTTAGGCTACATATGATTATTTTTTGGGGTAAAGAGAATGTTTGCAATTGAAGTAGAACCCGAAAATTTCATTTTTCAGTCCGAATCTTAGCTAGATTTTGTTTAGATCCGTCGAAATTTGTTTGCACCGAGTGATTGTAGGTCGTAAGCGGATTCAGAGGGGGGGGGGGGG